ACTAGTAGAACGGTACTTGCATAACGGGTGCCGTACACGTATGAATGCCCCATAGGGCTGTTCAGCCCAAGAGCATGTAGCTGAAAGCATGGCCAACATGGCTTACACACGTGCTCAATTTGTCAATGTGCTGATGTATATTCGCGAGAGAATAGCCGAATAAAGCCACTTTTAGGACTAGATTCTCCTGCAGTGAGTGGTTTTTATTACACTTGATCTTGCTCGGGTTCCTCTAGTGATGGTCTTATTTCCGGTCCTTCACCGGACAGTAGTCGGGCATCGATTACGATGAGTTTAAAAAAGGAAAGGCACAGATGATGTTATAGACACGAATCATTCATTTTGCTCGGGCCGGTCCATGGCAGGGAGCAACTAGAAGCGCTTGGAGCATCTGTGGTGTGAAATGGCGCTAAACCTCCCGCCTGAACCTAGTACATGGGTAGTGAGCGGCTGATGATACATAATGCATCACCCCCCGCGACATGCTGTCATTTACAAACCCCCCAATATGAGCCGTGGCACTTATGCTGTGAAGCCTATTCGGTCCTCTACATCCACATCTTCGTCTTCGACATCGTCTGCGTCTTCATCTCTGTCAAGAGCGTCTATCCAGACTACCGTCACTACACTCGACACCTCGAGCATACAACGACTGATTCGAACAGTATATCGATCGTCAAAAGTCACAGTTCAACAGGTGGAAGTAATCCAAGGCTATCTTGGGCAGATATACATCACTAGACTTGCAGATGGCAACAGTCTGGTGCTCAAGTGCCCACCAGCACACAATGTTCGACTCCTCCGCCACGAGAAACACATTCTGGATACCGAACGCAAGACACTCGAGATGATCTGCGAATACACCCGAATACCCGTTCCACAACTCATCACATACGACACTCACAGCTCAACACTCGGGCGGCCGTTTCTCCTAATGAGCCACATACCCGGCCGGCGACTCTCAGAACTCGCACCGTACCTTACCCCCAGCGAACGCAATGCAATCGATCACACCATGGGCATGCACCTGCGCTCGCTGACGGCACTATCAGCGCCCCAATTCGGGCAGGCCCACCGCGTCTTGGCCAAGAAAGGCAGTACGACCTGGCGCGAAGCGTTCCTCGGACTGCTCGAGTCGACGCTGCGCGACGCAGAAGACATGCTGGTCAACCTGCATTCGGAGAGCATCCGCTACTGGATCGGCAAGCACGCGCACCATTTGGATAAAGTGACGGAGCCGCGCCTCGTCGCGCCCAATGTGTGCAACGCGGATAATATTTTGCTCGACGAGCATACCAGGCTCGTTGTTGGCCTCGTCGGCTTCTCCAATATCATCTGGGGGGATCCACTTATGAGCGGCGGTATGGCGGACGCTAGTGAGGCGTTTTTGACGGGCTTGGGTGAGTGTGGGCCGAGGACAGGGTCTGCACAGGTTAGGGTTTTGATGTGAGTTCTCTTTTTGCTACATTTCTTCCGTAGTATAAACTGCGAGTATAGTACGCCCGGATTCAGATTTACCCCGAACTCCCCCTCCCCCCATCCCATTCCAACCTCGACTTTAGTTCACTCGACGGGGTTTCACAAAAACTGACAGAGATAAAAAAAAATTCTAGATACAGGATTTACAGGGCTACGCTGCGTCTTGTGGCACACCACTATCGGCTGCATGACGGCACTGACGAGCTTGATGCACGCCGCGAGTTGAGCACTGCGCTCAACTTGCTTGCGGCTGTCTGATATGATTGTGGAATCTTACGAATCAGGGCAAAGGACAAAGCCCTCCATGGGGTAAGACGCAAGAGAGACAAGAGGACGGCAGAAGAGAGGACTGGGGGGAGGGGTGCGTGTGTGTGCTTTGACGTAGCGTTGCATATTCGATGTAATTTTCAATTGGCGTTTCAGCAGGCGAGTCAGCCGCTGGCATGGTCATGCGTAAGTGTTGTCCAGGGAATCGGGCGTTTTTTGTCTCTATTTCTTAGACGGGTCGGATAAAGGGCTGGGTTGCTATGTACTTCATTGCTAGGATAGATGGGGTTTGGGCGTTTTCCAGGGCGTATGTATGAGGAGGGTTTGGAAAGAAGTCTTATTTTTTTTTTAAAGTTTGTATGCGATATGCAGCCGTTGTTGTGTGTACCTGGCGACTGGATTAAAGAGCGAGATGGAGAGAAGGGAGGACAAAAAATATGCAACATGCATGTATGTGTGCATGCGCGTGTGCTTGCTTCCCTCTCTCCCGCAGTGCAGTCCACCGTTTCCGTCATGTACCCACGCGCATTACCCGCTTCACAGAAAGGAGCATATGCTTTCACGGATAACACGTACGGGTTACGTAGTCAAGAAGGGGGGAAACTTGAACTGAGCGATGTAACGGTACTTGACTTTACTGGGGGTTTCGTATACGCAGAATTTCGGGAGCCCCGACCACCTGCCATTTCCACATACCCGGGATTGTTCTCCAAAGTCTGTCTAATTGCCGTCGTATGACAGCATGGCACACACATCAGACAAACCATTACAACAAAACATAAAGCTTACACCGTATCCTTCCTCCCCTCCTTCCCTGCCACCCCCTACTCGCTAATCCCTCATCACAATCAGGGCTACTAAGCCGATTCTGCAAGAACCCCCATATACCGATCAAATAGTTGAATCTCCGCTACGGAGTCCCCCCATGCTAGTCCCTAGCCCCCTAGCCCGTTGCCATGCTCGCTTCTCGGGACGCCGGTACCGCTCAGAGGTCCAGAAGCACAAGAAAACGAGCAGGGCTAGGCGAACGTTTAAGATTCCGGGGCACCAATACGAAGGACGAAAAGGCAAATAGAAAACAACTGAGAGGAGCAATGATTGACCATTTCTTCCTCCCACGCCGTTCCTGTTCTTTTTTACCCATGGCTATGGTAAGTGATACCGGGCCAAGACACAAATCCTTTGCACCAAACGCAAGGAAGCGGTCGAACATGGGCGAAGAGATGGAGAGGGGGGGCATAGTACACCGCTATGTAGCATACGCATACGTACGCCCCGCATCATCAACCACTCCCACCATCCACCATCCACCAACCACTTCCCCAAGTCCCTCGCTCTCGCACTCGCCCGAACTCGCTTCCTCTGAACACAAATGCAAAACGCGGCCATACCCACGCGCCCATAGTCCGTAGTCCTCCAACCCTTCCCCACCAATCACTCCTAAACCACCCTTCCTGCGCGTCCACCGCAATCGCAATCGCTCAAAAGGCAAAGGAAGAAAAAAAATCGCCTACCCCTGCTCTCTCCCCTCCCCACTTCTTATGCTACCACTCCTCGCTCACCCATACCCCGGTCTCCCTTCCTCTTCTTTCTAGAAAACATACACGCGGGTCGCTGGTGTCCCCCTTAGCGCGCGCTCTTCCCACATCGTCATCATCCTCATCAGCATCATCGTCAACCCTTGTTTTCCTCTTTTCCATTTCGGTAAACCGACATACCCAGCGTAACTCTCATATCATCATCATCATCATCATCCTAAAACCCGATAATACCATTTAATCCCACCCCCTCCACGAATTCCTTAAATCATACTAATAAACCCCATTCCTTAAATTGAAATCGCTGGTAGGAAAAAAAACCAAGGAGTAACTAAACCCATAACCTTTTTTTTTGATTCAAGACTTGGAAGCGGGAATAAAACATACATGCATCAGCAGCCCCCTCCCCCCCTCCCCTTCAAGAACACACAGCAAAAAAAATCGACAAGGGTGGGCGGGTAAGTAGTCAGTTTTGGAGCGAGCGAGCGAGCGAGCGAGCGGTGGGGAACGAAAGGTCGCCCCGGTCGCAGCCAGGCGAGGCGAGGATGGGTAGCCGGGTGGGTGGGTTCTTTTCTTTCGCTAGATTATACCCAGTTGGGATTAGTGTGGGTAGGGGTTAGCGAGCGAGGTGGGAGGGGTGGGTGGGCAGGTGGTGAGTGCCCAGGTTGAGTGGGTGGGGGGGAGAGGAAAGGGGATGGAATGATGGATGGAGGGTTTGGGCATTGGAAGGTTGGGAAGGGTAAGGGTAGGGTTAGGTAGGGCGGTTGTGGTTGGTGGGTTGGTTGGTCGTGGATGCTAGGGGTCCTGGTTTATGTTACTTCCTGCAGATATGTGTCTATAGTGGCGCTTTTCGGATAATTTGTCTAGAGGCGTTTTGGTTGGTCCTGCGGTTGGAAAATGGGTGGTTATATCGTGAGTTAATTTTTTTTTTGACTTCGCATTGCCGCTGGTTCCGCATCTTTGGTTATGGAAGTGAATGCGTGCGGAGTTCTGTTTCGCTTTACCCCCCATTGTTGAAATGCATACGTATAGTTTATATTGTGGACTCGCTTTTACTTAAGAGAAGTGGTATGGATGGAGGAAGGTGATGTAATGTAGTTGCGGGTTAGACGTGTCAAGGTGGGTGCTCAACAAGAGATAACGGGAAAGCCTTTTATTTTTTTACATTCTATTACAGAAGGTATCTTCAACACTGTTATCACCCCAAAGACGGTCGTGTCATTGCAATATACTTCATGTCCATCTTTCCCAGCCTATAGGTTTAAAAATGCCAAAGCAGAGTTGTGGCACGCATAAAAGACCAGCCTTGCACAAGTTTTGTTTACACTGCTCGTTGCCAATTTGTCACCTGGACCACGAGTATTATAATGAATATTGTCACCAGTGCAGAAGCAGCTGAAATATCTAGTAGACTGAGCATGTCTAGGAACTGAAGATATTACATCCACGTCACATCACACCACTGATTCACTTGAGAAACTCATCCAACTCCTCCACATGCCAACACAAGTTACAGAACAAAGCCGAGGTACACGATTACCCAGAAAAGACAGTTTGCTCTGCCAAGGACGAAACACGCTCAGGACAAGGTGATACAGGGTTCCATTCGATAAATGTGACGTATCACAAGCACACCTACAATTGACTGCCAATGCATGCCAACTCATCCAAGCTCATACCCCTTCAACCCACAACCCGCAAGTCCGTGCCGTTCGCTCAGGCCAACATAGTCTGTTTAGAAGTGAAATGATGTGCCGAACTCCGGTGCCGAAAGAACTTGCTGTGGTCGCTTCCCGGCGCCTTGAATGGCCAATTCATATACGCATCCAACATTTCTGTAATCATCTCCGGCGTGAGCAACCTGACTCTAAAGTGATCCATTTGCAGCCTCCCGCCCTTGTCTGGGTCCCTTAAGGTCGGGCAATTTTCCATGATATCGCGAAGTCCGTGCTGCATCTTATCGAGGGCTTCGGGAATGGTGTCCGAGGGATTAGCGTAGAGCCCGTGTATAAAGTCATGCAGCCAATCGTAATAATCGTGATATTCTGCGGTGGGCTGTGGAATAGGCTCGGTGGAGATGAGAGAGAGACGATTTGTGGGCCAAGCTTCGTTGTTATACATGGTGAGTGGTTCGAAGGGACGAGAATCCCACTGAACACGAGGCGCAGGGGGTGCCCGTAGAGCCAGGCGGTCGTCGAGCTCGGTAGCTGGAGCGCGAGCATAGTTGAGCGGCATTTTTTTGTTCGCCTCCTCCCAGCTGGCGTTTAGCTCTTCCAACTTTGCCATTTCCGCGTCTTTTTGGGGCTCATCCTTCATGCGGAGAATCTTGCCTTCGAGTTCATATATGGCCTCACCAATATCGGCTATCGCTTCAATTTGTGATTTAAGCCTTTGGGTGAAATTGACCTGTGCACAATCTGCAAGATATTTACGAATTCGATCCTTGGCAGGATGGTCTTCAGGCACCATGTTCTTGCGCATCCTGGAATCTTTTCCTTTGGAAATTTCGATATTAGGATATTGCTGTCGTATGAATTTTTCGGTTTCATAGTGTTCAATAAGTCCTTCACTCAGTAGACCGGTGGTCGACTTTCCCGCTAGTTGTTGCTCATGGAGATACTCTTGTATCTCGCCACTTTTAATCATGCCTGTGCCATTCGAGATGCGCTCAATATCGGCAGCAAACTCATGGATAAGATCGCGCCGATGCGGTGGAAGCTCCATGCCTAGTTCTTTACCTCTTCTCAGAGCACGAATAGTGCTCTCAATGGCATATTGAGGTTCACGTCCTGAAGATCCTTTGCCCAATCTGCGCGGAGTTTGGGTCCCGTTCACAAATACTTGGATGTTGTGAGACATCTCCATGAATCGATTCGTTTTGTACATCGTGCTGATAGAATCAGCCATTGAAGTACCAAAATCCTCTTGTTGCACCCAGAAAAGTGTGCGAACAAGACCGTAGGCATGGAACAGCTCGTTGCTCCGAGCAGCAGCACTGAGGTGGTAATGAACTTGCTTGGCCATCGAGTCAAACCCAAGACCGGTCATGGGAGGGTCCCAAACCAGAGACCCTGTCACCAGTAGTGTGTTGTTCGGTTCTTGAGCCTTTGGATCGCGTGAATCTCGTATCGTCTGTTGAGGAAAGACCCCCTCGGCGACCATGTCGGTGTATGTGTTGAGATCAGTCGGATCTTTCTCTATGAGCGAGTACTTGGAGTCGGGCGCGCTAAGCAAAGGTTCGAGGAAGTCCTTGAATCTATCGAAGCGGGGCTCGAGCAGCACATGGCTTCGTGGCTGAAGGTAGTCGTGAAGCTTCTGTGACCAGAGCCCAGCGCCAGGATTGATGTCGAGGATGTCACAGCCCTTGTGCTTTTCCAAGGTGGGGCCAGCGTAGTTGATCACATCATCTATACAGATTTTGCATCAGTATCAGCCTAGTTAATTGTATGCTCTAAAGAGGGCGCGACGTACCACACAGATCAGGACTTACAATTTGTGCTCTGACGTGAACGCCGCCAGACTTGGCCGAGGGACCTGTGTTTGCGCCTCTCTTTCTCTTGACTTTGGGTTCGAGGGATGGGTGTATCAATTCCTTCATGGTGTGGCTCAAGGGATACTTCTCATCTGTCGCCAGCTTCTCTTCGGACCAGTAACTCTGCACACCCTTTGGGCGCCCACGCTTGCCAACATTTTTGGCGGTAACAAAGCGCGTCTGGCCCTGTGGCAGAAGAGATATATGTGATCGCCATATGTTGCGCGATATCGTCGGGCGTATGCGAATCATCAAGGCGTGCGATGGGTTAATTGATCCGCTCTGCCATAAAGTTGTATGCCGCGGGGATTTGCATCACTTTGAGATAACGCGCTTATCTACACGTGATCACGCGTGCTATAGCAGCCCTGTGACTTGTCTATATGCCCCACTTGTGTAGCTTGCCAAATAATGGTCATGGTCACGTCAGAGAATAGGAGGACAGAAAAAAAAGCTACCTGTTTCATTAGATAACGCAGCTCGCTTAGTGGTATGCAATGCAGTTGTCTCAGAACAGAAGGTGGCTCCACCCAGGACAGCGCACAATGAGGCCTCCAACGCGGCTACAATATGTAGTGTACGTTACCCCTCCGTTTCACCATGACACAGACATCCCATAGCAATATTCTCATCATAGGTGCCGGATCATGGGGGTGTTCAATTGCCCTCGAGCTCGCCCGGCGTGGCTACACTTCCATCACTGTACTGGACGGCAGCCCATTCCCTTCTGCCATCTCGGCTGGCAACGACTTGAACAAGATTGCCGAAGAAGCAAACGAGCCATCTGACTCTGACAGCAATGAGGACTACTTCTGGAACCGCATAACTCAACTTTCAATGGACGCTTGGAAATACGACCCCGTTTTCTCATCCTTCTACCATGATACTGGCTTCATCATGGCAGCTGTAGGCGACGAAGCATACAAACGTTGCGTGGAGTATGCAAAAGGAGAGAAGATCACACCAACGGCGCTCAATACCAAAGAGGACTTCCGGCTTACGATGCCAAAGCACGTGCTGCAGGGCGAGCTTGCAGGCTGGAGAGGATTCTGGAAGAAAAGCGGCGCAGGCTGGGTGTTTGCGAGTGGCGCTCTGAAGGCCATGTACAATGAGGCAGTAAGATTTGGTGTGAGCTTTGTAACAGGAACCACAGGAAAAGTTCAGGAATTACTCTACAACTCAGACAAGAGTCATGTCACAGGAGTGAGGGTCGTAGATGGTACCGAGTATGCAGCGAAGCAGACCATACTGGCAGCCGGCGCAAACAGCGACCTGCTTGTGGACTTTGAGCAGCAACTTCGACCTACAGCCTGGACACTGGCACACATACCTCTCTCCGTCGAGGAGGTAAAGGGTTACCGTAACTTACCCGTACTGTATGGCGTAGATCGAGGCTTCTTCATTGAGCCAGACATCGAAAACCACGAGATGAAGCTCTGCGACGAACACCCGGGTTACATAAATCCGATTTACAACAATGGCAAGATGCGGTCCGTTCCGTTTGCCCGTCATCAAATTCCCAAGGACTCCGAATCACGTATGCGTCTTCTTCTTTCAGAGACAATGCCACAACTCTCCGAACGCAGCTTCAGCTTCGCACGTATATGTTGGGACGCAGATACAGTTGATCGTGTGTTTCTCATTGACAGGCATCCCGTGATATCAAACTTGATTGTTGCCGTTGGAGGTTCTGGAAACGGATTCATGGCATGTCCTGCCATTGGATCACTGGTCGCTGACGTGATTGAAAATAAGGGAGAAGAGAGGTTGAGGAAGGCAATGAGATGGCGACCAGAGATAAGCGTAGAACGAGATTGGTGGGATACGCAGGGCAGGTACGGCGGTCGTGACAAAGTGATGGATTTTCGAGATGTGGAAGAGTGGACTCCAGCAACTGCGTAAAATGTCTGTCTGAGGTCAGCGCAACAGAAATTGCGTCACCTCAAGTTCAAGGTCAGCATTGCTTGTGTTACAATCGCCTCTCAGATCTGGAAGTATACTCACTGGGACTTGCACCAATGCAGAGGATGATGTGCAGACAAGTACCAGGAATCAACCAGATTGAAGCAAACAATGACAAAAAGCTAGGTTCCTCTATCTTCTGTTCTTTTTGTTTAGGAGTTCTACTCATTGTGCACTGCAGGCGGGGTCAAAGCTTCAGAGTACGGTTTGTGCCAATTGTGTGCTTGATGTTGAACTTTGTCATTGCACAATCAACTGCCGAGTCCAAAAACCTTGCGGTACAGCACTGTGACATATTCCGAAGGGTACGTTTCCGATGGAACCGGAGCTCAGAGCTTGGGCTAAGCCCACTGCGGTCCGAACTCTGCACTTTGTTAGTGTAGGGACCCTAGTACGATCGGGAGTTGTTTCTTACACGCTCACCGACGCGGCACTGCTACTACGCAGGGAATATAATTTCGGCGGCCCCGCAGTAAGGAGGACATTGATGCCTGGTTTCCAAGTAGGTAATACCAAAGATGGGTTTGTGTTTCGGCGCCGTGAGGAATGAGATTGAGGCTGTGCGGGAAAGATGAACACCGCCACGTTTCACCGCTACCATGACGTTTCCACCTTGATTTTCCTGTATTAAGATGAGTCTTAAAAGGCGGTGGTGTCTAATAATAGGATGTAGTGGCGGTAGAGCCGATTCTGCGTTGAGAGACTGAAAGAGGTTGGGAATGACGAGATCGAGATAGTCAATCTGATAAATTCGGAGCTTGATTGGCTACTTAGAAAAAGTCTCTATTCGACAATCCGGTAAAGTATTCGAGTCTAGAATACAACTGTATTGACTTTGACGGCAGTTTGACTTTGGGTTCCTCTGTGATTGAACCGTTGACGAAGCGTTTGTAGACATGCGGTGTCTACGCAGCAAGAATCCAAGATTGTGATGAGTGATGTCGTCAGGATCATCGGCGCTATGAGGGGTCCTTAAGCAGATAGTCTTGGCATCAAGTAATTCTTTTTTGTCTGCGCAGTACGCATCCACTGATATGACATGGAGATGGCAGTTCCATACTGGTCATTCAGCCATGTCTGAGCACGAAAAAAGAAACCTGGACAAGAGTTTCGGGGTTCTTGAAGTGGCCTGACTATGACCACAGAGCCATTGTGGGAAGCCTGAAGACGGACCGCGTTCTTTCTGTTTCTTGCTTGAGATCATCACTTGTGGACAGTATGCCATAGCCGCTCGGGGCCGATACGGCTCAGGGTACATGCTAGCGGGTGTTGTGTTGGTTGGGAGACTGGGTATATTGCAATGAGGACTATCCATACGATGGCCAGGGCCAGACACATGTCCCTTGAGCCTAGGCATCACCTCGGGAGCACTATGGTGCTGAACTGTCAAGTCAGCCTTACTCTAGTCTTGATATGCCAGTCCCCTGGAGACAAGAGACAGTGCCCTGATTGTGGAGCGTTCCAAGATTAGTAACTCCCGAAGCACTGGCCTGCAAGGGCGGATGAGGTCAGTGATGGGTACGTTGGTATGTGCACATTGTTGCGGGCTGTGTGGTGGATATGTGGAGGGCGAAGAGTTGTATAGGCAACGGGATGGAGTAGAGTAGAGTAGGTGTAGTAAGCTAGTGTTGGGGTTGTTGGGCTGGCAGGAGCAGAGGGGGGTAGTAAGGAAGGGGCGAGAGTATAGCACTTGCCCTTGCCCTTGGTCTCGCCCTTGCCCTCGCACTCACCATCAAGTCAAGTCACTTTGATCCTATGGTAGGTTCGACGGGCGTATCTTGACCCCGCGCCGTCGTGCGCCCAACAACGCAGAGTCGCTTCTCACCACGCATGAGTGGCTGGCGGAATATTACACCGAGACCTGGAGCCCCGACGGAGACGGTAACAACACTGGAAGGTGACTAATCTTTGCCTCAGCTTCGGGGACCATCTTTACCTGTCTTGGAAAGCAGCGAGACAGCGAGTGCAAATTTGCAGCTTGTGCCGCATATGCTAACTGCTCGCAGACTATTTGGGGATGACGAGATGTGTGTAGGCTTCGGCTAGTGGAGTGCAGAAGAGAAGGACCAAGCTTGCCCCTGCTTCGACATACATACGATACATACAATACACAGACACTAGTACTCGACTTGGTGTTGGAGCGAGATGGTGTGCGGGCCGTCGTGGTCTGACTCCCCGACACAGACTGTCCGCCCCTGCGTCACTGTCACGGCAAGGAGGGCTTGGGCAGAGGGCCCATCAGCAGCAGCTATGCCTCCCAAGTCAGCATACAGGAGTGTGTAGGTCCAATACGAAGGCGTATGGCGAGCATCAGCACGGCCGTTTAGCCGCATGGCTGTTGTAGGCGTCTGCCACGGCCAGCGAGTGGATCCACAGCTAGGCCCAGTGTGCTCGCCTGTTGGACATGTTTCTTGCGTGCTTGTCCAACCACGTCGGAAGCAAGAGGCCGGCTTGATTGACAAACACGAGTCGTGATTTGAAATGCAATCAAACTGTCGTTGCAGGGCGCTGCCTGGGGCCGTCGCGAGTGGTGAGCAGGAGTGAATGGCCGACGGTGGTCCGACGTGGAGGAGCAAGAGGGAGGGCGTGAAACGTCGGCTGCCCAGGGCCTGGCCGTCCGTCAGTGACGGGCGTGGTGTGCTGCCTGATGGGTGGTGGGAGCTGGTTGCTGGGAGCCGGGAGCTGGCTGCAGGGTTTAAAAATACACACACGGCTGCCGGCCCATGCACAGTCACAGCACCAGCAACAACATCGCCGCCAGAACAAGACGAGAGAGCAGACACCGACAGACAGTGACCGACAGGCATGCGCAAGTAGGTAGCGCGGGGCGTGTCCCCGTGCACGACGCCAAATTTTTGCCGGCGTAAGCGACTGAACTCAGGCCGCTTTTCGTCACGTCTGCTACCTTGCCTGCGATCGGCAGGCCATCATCTCCAAAGCCAAAGCCATGGAAAGTGTATCTCGCTGCCCCTCCTCGCGGCCTACACACCCACGCTACTGCTACCGCCCTTCCTTCGAATGTCGCTCCACAGCCCGCCGCACTAGCCGGGCCCATTGTGTGGCTTTGGATGCCGTCGCAGCCTGCCTGGCCCCCCCGCCGGGCCCCGTTGCGATGCCGTGTCTGTGTGCATGTGTGGCCGGCTCTGCCTGCTTGCACCATCCATACCAAGGGCCATGCACGGAGGATTCGTTGCTGCACGCCTGCTTGCCAGACGCCCTGCCAGCCGTTTGGCCGCCAGAGTCGCATGAACCTCGTCGACCGGTCGTTCCCAAGCGAAATGGTGGATGCTCTTCACCCTGCACGTAGGCTACTTAGACCCTAGTCGGCCGCTTGCCAGACCAGCGCTAGGGCGGCGTGCTCGCCATCAGGGCGGTACCTTCATTCACAGGGATCAGCTCGCCGGCCCACGAGGCTCACTCGCTCTCCACTGCAATTGTGAAAGGGTTATGCACCCGCGCTGCAATGGGCCCAGCGGTATCAGATTGGGAGGCCAGCGCAGCGAGCGTTACTAGCCAAGTCACCCACGCTCGACAATCACCGCCGGCACTGCTCCCGTCGTCGGATATGTGACCCGACTGAGAGGTCTCCTCCGGTCCAACACTGGCTGCCTCTAGACTGCCCTCTCTGCATCGAATAGTACACATGTACTTACATATGTACCTGTCCCATATATGACCTCAACTGACACTGACTAACTCGACTGACCTGCCACTCCCTGCTCAGCCCTAACCCCTTTCTTCTTGTTCTGCTCTTTCTTCATCCTCGCCCCCATTTCTACTATTTCTAGTCCAAAGCACCCAAGTGGAGATCCAGGGCACTGCAAGACATTGCAACACCGCCACTACCCGCCACTCCTTCTCGTCAAGTCTCACATGCCCCCCAGCCTTACCGTTGTGGAGAGCGCCCCCTAGTGCAGTGCCGGGCTAATCCTGTACACCCCGGACTAGCAGCCTTACCCTACCCTAAACCCTAGAGTCTGGGTCTGTGCCTTAAGACTGGATCATTCTCACCCATCTGCTGGATTTCCCGCTTAGACGCACTGGCCTACTCCTCTCGCATGATATACAACGCACGCTTGCGTCGATTGAGGACCATTTGAAGACAACCACACCTCCCTTCTCGCAACTCCTCTTGGACTCCCACATACCTACACACAGCCACGTTGACCCCAAGGATGACATTCTTCTCTACTGAGGCAGAGCTAGCGCTCATGGCGCCTGATGACGGCATGATGTACCCCTCCAGCACTTGCCAATCACCTCCGAGCATCATGTACTCACCACCACTCCACCATATGTCACACCGTCCCTCGACAACAATGGCCGGCCACGGTGGAATGTATACCCCTCCACACGACTACAGACCCATCATGGAATCGCCATATCCTCCCCACCCCTTCTGGACCTCGCAGGCCCAGTCGGTGCCGATGCCTCAAGTCTCGTCGTACGCTTACCCTCCATACACTGACATGGGATCCCCTCCCATTCTCTCTCACGACTCGACCCTTCTCTCACAGTATCCCGGCGCTACTCGACCTTCAAGATCACACTCGACATCTTCATCAGTGGGCCACGGTATTGCATCCAGCATCCCATCAGAGACTTCGCCCCCCGCACTATCGCGGTCGCTTTCCCCTTCATCGCCAGACCTCCGAGCGTACGGCATCCCAAACAAGAACGGCACATGGAGTTGTGCGTACCCAGGATGCACATCAAGAGCAGTCTTCACCAGGGGATGCGATCTCCGCAAGCACCACAAGCGACACACCAAGTCATTCTTTTGCCGGCACGGCGATTGCCCGCAATCTCAAGGAGGAGGATTCTCAAGCAAGAAGGATCTTGCGAGACACGAGGCAAAACACAACCCGGGCGTCTTGTGTGACTGGGATGGGTGTGACAGAGTTTTCAGCCGCGTGGACAATATGGTAAGTTTGGGCAGCAGCTAGTAGTGGCAGGAAATCAAATGCTAATTTTTTCTACAGAGAGACCACGTCAAGAGAATACACCTCAAGTCGTCACGGAAATCGTCGACAACATCAGCATAGAGATGGCGGTCCACTCCACCGTCTCACTTTTACTTTCGTTCAAGATACCCTGATTGCCATATCGGTCGCTATTGGTTTTGCTTTTTCTACTCTTCTTCTTCTCTCTTGGTCTACGATTGTAGCGCTTTTCCACCACTGCATCACTACGGCGTTTTCCGCAGACTAGAGCACGATCCCTGGAGTCATATGGACTATTCCAGGATGTATGCATCACGGATAGGACGCTTGCTAGGAATAGGGTGTATATACAGATACAGGTGCATATGGGCCGCGGCCGCCTGCACTAGCTAGGTACGAGTGACGTCTGCTGACAGAGCGACGTTGCTCTGAATTACATACTACACTTTAGTCGCAGACAGACATGTGCCGTTATTGTTTTCTCGCTCTCTCCGAGCCGCAAGCAGACTAGCAGACCAGCAAGAGGTCGTTTGGGGAATGTCACGCCAGAGGGGTTGTCTTTTCTGCGTCGGGAGTTAATTGAGAGCGAGACCGACGAGGCTAGTGGGGGGCCTTATTTCCCTGCCATTCACTTGACAAGGCTGACTTTGACGGCGCTGTCGAGTGCAGGTGGGGCCTTCTTCGCAACAGTCACATGACCATTGCCTCGTTTGCGTAATGACTGTTAGCGAGCAGCGAGCGTGGTGCTCCGTCCCACCACCCAGACACTGATCGAGTTGCACCCACGGCACCGCCCTCTTTGGTAGCCAGAACCTTGTCGAGTCACTGCGGTAATACCGGGGCACGACATGGCCCTACCCGGAAACACGGGCGATGCGATGCGATATGCGGCTGCAATCCAAGTGGCCGGCTGTGGCTCTTGTCACCGATGCAAGCCGTTTCCATGGCCTCTAGGGACCGACATGCACGGCATCGTGTACATGTCGAAATGCAAGCGTGGATGTATACAGTCAGACATGGCACCTGCACGTCAATGTAACAAGACATGAACACTGCGCTGGACGAGCGCTGTCAACTCGAACTCGGGGCCATGGTCCCATCACGTATGCGGCTGCAGACAGCGACACCCAAGCGGTTCCATGCCGCGAGCTTTGCTGTCTTGGGGGCGACGACACGGCGAAGGCCGAGTCGGCATCGAATCAAAACTCGCTTGCGGCAGCGCGAGTTGCTATTTTCCTCCAACACATGCTCGCGCTAGTGCACCAGTGTGCACAAACAACAAGACCATTGGGGGGCGGCTAAGGCTCGATAGTGTCGTCGAGGTCACGGTGATGACTTTGCCGCGGCCTACTACTATGTACCATCTGAACATGTACAACCTACATGCGAGCTGACAGGCGGCGGCATGTTGTCGTTCCGAGCGGCAATGCTGCGATCTTGTCACTGCGCCGTTTGATGCGCCCGTTACGCAGCCAACCATGGCCTGTCCACCGTGACGGCACAACATGGCCAACCGCTGACGGGTCGCAAACCGTGACTGCGGATTCGCTTGGTGAGATCTTGGGCGTCTTATTAGCTGTGCCGCCACGAGGTGGCTGCTTGCAGGCTTCGCTTCCTCACTCGTCATCTCGTACACGACCCCTACATGGCCATCGTTACCCCTGTCGTATACCGGTGAAGGCAGTCGACATGGGTCCGGCCCGATGCGGTCTAGAGGCAACTCCGCTCTTCTCCAGTAGCCTATCCACATGCTGGGTACAGTCGATCCGGGTCGCGCTACTCGAACCCTCATTTCTGTCCCCTCTGCGCTGTCCTATCCGCCTCCCGTGGTCCCCGGGATCCGTCCCAGACTTGTCGTCATAGCTGGCTTGTATACCCTCCTTCCTCGTCTCGCGTTTCATTGCTTTCACAGTCCAATCCCAACAGGTTTCACCGTTGCTGAAGCAGATGATGCGTGACGCCAGCCAGAGGGCTAAGTACAAGCAAGCCACCCGGCCGCAACTGCAAACCTTCGTCATGTGGAGAGCATCTCCGTCTCCACACTGCACCGTCGCCAAATCCCATCTTTTCGGCCCATTAATCAGTCCAATCAGCCACCCGTAGATATATTCAACCCATAAATACGTCGACCGTGCATGAATATGGGGTTGCCATAGCAAGAACCCTGAGGATGATCAACGGGTTTGGGAAAACATTGCGGTTGCTGCACCGTGCATGCCTTCATCGACAATATCGCCGACTCAGCGGGCCACTTTTATGATCATGGGGAATGAACAAGTTTCATATGTCCTATTCTGGTCACCACAACGAGATAACTACCAGAGCCTACTCAATCAACGGCCGACCGCTGTCCCGACCGATCGTCGTGGCGGCCAGACCTTTGCCCATCTTCACCAAAGAGGGGCCATCCAGGATCCACAGTGTCTCTGCTGTCACCATTTTGCGCTGCAAACATCCGGATATAACGATGAAGATGACTCGCACAGTCCCATTTGGGTTCTTGGCTAGATCCCAAGTTCGCATGGTGTCCATAGTCTCCGTCATCTTAACGTTGTTTGGGCAAGTTGGTCGAACGACGTGCTGGACTGCTTGACTCGCAACGTTTCTATCTGATTGGTCTGCTCGGGTTCCAGCTTCATACTAGTGGTTTGATTCCGCTTGTTGCAAGCTGCCAAGCTGTAGTGGATACGTGGCGCGGAACATCTCTTAGCGGCACGGAAAAGCAGGGAGCATAGGGCACTTTGTTCCTGAATGCAAACCTCGAACAATTTTCGCCCAGCCTGCCTACGGCGGAGGGTTCACTAACTTCCGCAAAGGGGAGCCTAGTGCCGCACACGGCAAAACATGTGCACTGACAATCTGCATGTTGACGACAAAGGAAGGTGCAAAGTGAAATCAGCTTCAGACATCTGGAACGTTCAAAAATACCTCCGACCCGCTTCACGATGCATGTATTTGAAAAAAAAATTGCGTGTTTTGCGCGCACTTGTTGCCCAACCCAACATTGCCGAACCCGAAGGGCGCTACATGCAGTCTTGTGAATGGCTTTGCTGTCAAGACTGCACATGCAAACACAAGCATTAACCCTGCGCTGCATCCAACCGCTAGAGCGAGCCATTAGACGATGTGTCCAACATTGCATCGCGCAAACACATGAATTTCAAGATGGCCGAACTTTTAACTTTAGTCGACGGGTCGTTTAGCGTCCTTGTTGCAATCACACGGCTTGAAGAGCCGGATCAATCAGTCTCGTGTGGATTTGTTGCGCCCACTAAATGCAGACACAGTTGTAAAATGATGTGGGTTTGACTTGTACAGCGCATTTCCTATCCAAGGGTTCATTTGGAAAAGCCAGAGGAGATGAAATGACGATTGCGCAACCGGGTTTTGGTCGGTTTCTTCCAGGTCGGAGCCTTGGTTTTCCATCTTTATGGGCGACAACACGGATAATCCTCGGCATTGTGGAAACACTCACAAAAGGTTGATGTGTACAGCCAGAATTCACTTGGGGTATTTTTGACATACAACATAGATCTTTGAGGAGTTTGTAGAAGATAAGTCACGGACGAGCCAATGAAGATGCGGAACGCCTATCATGCAGGTACACTACATGGTAGGTGGTATTACAGAAAGAAAGTAGGATTCCACCATGACGGAAAGAAGCAGGTTTGAAGAAGAGAGACAAGCCTCGGGGCTTGTAACCTGTTCAATATGCAGAAAAAGGTATAGAAAATGGCAAAAGTGGATTTGGTATACGAGCAACAAGAACAACAACACACACACACACACACACACACAAAACCATATTGCTCTCGCAAAAGGCAATAGAAGGTGCATCTGGTGGGAATTTCCTAAAAGGCCATCATCATGCGACGGGCGGGCACGTGACCTTTAAACGGCAACATGGCACCTCTGCGCCGGGACAGCCACACCGCTGCACAATCCATCGCACTGTATACCGGCCCTTCCTGTAGGATTCGCTCAGTGCCAAAAATACCATCCCTCCCTTGATATCTCCATTCGAGCCATGGCGTGCAGCAACGGCAAGAAAAACAAGCCGCGAGCAACGAGTAGTAAGCCCAGGCCGAGCGCGTCACGGGGCTAAATCCAACGGTCGGGATCGCGCCAGCACCCTAGCCCCGCCAGTCGTGGGGTCCAAAAAGAGTTGTCCTGTCTCTCCCCCTGTCGGCCAGAAGAGAAGAGAACAGAGCTCAGCGGGCAGCGCGCACAGACAAACCCAGTTTCCAGCCCCCTCCCCCCATCCCCGCCCGCACAACAACCTTTTTTCCCCACCCCTTGCTCCATCGCACGCGACGCCGCGAAATTTACCCAGATAGGCTTGATGCTGCGAGGTTGAAAATCCATCTAGCGCCGATAAGGTATAATGCCCTACCTTTGCGTCGGTGGGGCCCTGGGTTTTCCCTTCTTTCCATCCCACCCACCCCCTTGTTAACTGCCCCCCCCTGCCCTGTCGACTGTCCGCACCGCAACCCTTTTGTGGCTGCCAGGGTCGGCTGAGAGTAAAAGCGGCACTGCGGCATATGCGCGACATGGGGTGTGAGCGTGTGTGTGCTGAGAGAAGGGGACAGCACTGTGATGCAGGGGTAAGCGGGCAATATGTGGGGAATTTTATTCTATTGGTGTTGAACCCAACACGATGTGCATTTTCTGGTGGTTTGTTAACTTGTTCTCTCTTTCGACGTCCTTTTCGGCATGTTCCGTTTTTTTCTGCTCGTGACGTTTGGCTCTTGGCAATGCGTGCAGTCGAGTAGCTTTTTTTTTCTTGCTTTCGCTCATTTGCGCCTAATCTGGCTCATTTTTCTCTGAACTTACGAGGTGTCACTTTGTTTTTCTTTTCGTCCGTTTTCGGCTGCTTGCTTCCTGGCGAGTTTAAATTATTCATTGGTCTGGAACGTATGATTTTGTTTGCCCATTGGGCCAAATGGCATGATTATCTTCGGCACGTGTCTGACGATTTTCTTGTTTTTTTCATGTGCAAAAACATGGACAGGGTTTAGAAGGTTCCTAGGCTGTTGTACACATTGAGAAAATAATACGGCGTAGACGAGCTGTCCTCGGAACATCGGAGTATCGGAGGTCGGGCGCTGGCGGTAGATTGCTCCTATGTCGGGAAGGCTTAATTAGCCTCGACAACGTCAGCACCTACAGTGTGACCGCCAATGTGCATTGTTTGGGACTGCGCAGAGCTGCTGTCTTGCGATCCAATCTGCGATTCATGCTCATCGCTGTCGCTTACCCTGGCTTTTCCAGTTCATCAAAGGGACAAACCATATGTTTGACCAGTGCAAGTGCACATGGTATGTATGCTTAGTCGGATACCCTGCATATAATTCTGCTCGGTTACACCAAAATATACATGTCTCATACACAAGGGCAGATGAAATTACATACCGCTTGCCCGCTTCCTCATTCACACAACCACCCGCAACGTCCTGCTACGCCCGCTACGCCCGTAGGCCAAATCACCGCCAAGACATCTTATTTTCGGCCCGTCAAACAGTTCGCACCTAATGACCTTGCGGGCTGCAAAAAGGTCTATGTATAGTATTCATCCTTCCAAATCAAGTAATTTTCCGGACCACTTGTTCAGCTCGTCCCTTGCGCTTTTTGGCACGATTACATGCAAGCCTTACTCACGAGGCGGAAGGGACACGGAAAGCGGGAGTACCTCGCTGAGCGGCGCAGCAAGAAAAAAAACGCCAAAAAGGAAATAACCAACAACTTGTAGTTTAGTCTCCAAAACAATCCTGCAGGCTTGGGTAGCTGAGCAATGAAAATAACAGTACCAAACAAAATTTTTTTTAATCGCAAACGCTTGAACAAAGCATAGAATACATGCCCTGGCTTTACCCCCCAAAGCAACCAAGCACCCAAGCACCCAAAGCCTTGACCCAAACCAGTAAACCCCACCAACGCTATCCCCACAGCGGCAATAACAAGCGACTCTGTAATAGCGATCGGATTCTCTTTACCTCCTCCCCCCCCCCAAGCCAGGGGAACGGGCAAGGGGGGTTACGCCCGACGTGTTACCCCAAGTCGGACCGACCCCCAACAATCAACTTCCCCTTGTAAACGGAATACCCTTCGGATAATGCACGAAAAGGCGACAAGACAAAAGGCCGACGACCCATGTGTTTTGTTATTTTGTTGATCTCTTTTTTAGAGAAAAAAAAAACACATGCCTGACAAGCGAAAGAGAGAGCGCGCGCGAACACGCGATCGGGAACATGTATACCATGATTTCCACAAAAAAAAAGCCTTTCCCGTCCTAACTAAAAGTACTTGCTACTTTACGCCTTACTTGTAAACTTGGAAACTTTGGGGGGAAGGGGACAGGACGTCCGCCCATCGTCACTAGCTATTAGCAAGCAAGCAAACCAGCAGAAACAGAAAAGAATGGAACGTGCACAAGTTCAATCCACCCATACTATCTCCTTCCTTCCCATATCTCTCTTCCCCCTTCGCTTTGTCAAAAGAGCCCCACAATGCCATGCCATGCCATGCTTATCTGCCAAGCCCTATTTTCCTCGTTCAGAAAAAATCAGGCGGTGATGCTACGGGTCTTCCATGCCCGAAAATAAACTTTGATCTCTAAGAAAGGTCCCAGGGGGGGGGGTCGGGGCGCTGGCGCGCGCGGTGCGGCGGGCAGACTGGGACTGGAGCGCAACAACAACAAAAAGGGTGACCGGTGGAGTGGGTCAACCCAGGTTCTTTTCTTGTCAGGTACGTACCTTGAAGGTTAAAGGTATAGGAAGGGCATGGGTCATGTTGGTTCAATGGTTCGTTTGCTGGCGACGAATGAGGGGGCGCTAAACAGGCGTAAGCCGGTGCGGGCAGACACAGACACTGTCCAAAAGGGCGGAAATTTCGCTTTACGAACTATAGTATAGTATAGTTGGTTTTTTATTTTGTTCGGTTCGTTTGATTATTTTCCTTTGGTTGTCGATCGCAGTTCGGGCAGAGCGAGATCAACAGACGCCGCTTGGGGAGGTGGGTGTTTGGCGGTGGGGCGTATGCACGGTGGTGCCAGAGCTGGGAAACGGGGTTAACGGCATAAGTAGGCGTTGGCTGGTTATGTCATGGCAACGGAGTTTGAGTGGGGTTTAACGGAGATTTCAAAAGGCCGATGCGAAGGAAGGGGGGCCGATTGGCGTGTGCCATGGGGTGATAGGTGATGTGCGGGTTTATGAGAGGAGACTTTTGCATGATGAAATGAGCATTATTAATATGCTAGTATGAGATGGAACGTAGATTAGGTTGACGACGCTGACCCGATGACCCAACAGTGAGGAAAGGCTATTTCTTCGTGCCTTGCATGATTCAAGTGCTGATGTTCAGCTGAATGTTTCAGCTGTATGTTGATACTGCTCACCGCTTTCTTCTTTCTTCCATTTACCGCTTTCGTCTCTTGAATCTCGAGTTGCCTAGGGCTGAACTCTCGATAGCTGAAGTTTGGCCATGGTCCGTACGGACTGCCAGATTGGTAGTTTTCCCAAAATTGAAGGCCCTCTGGTTGCTCACGTTCATACCCTGCCTGTCGTATTCGGGTCGCACGACCGTGAAGATCCTACCAGTCGGTCACTGCATGCGCGGCTCATTATCCTGTACCAGTTCGGAGGTGTGAATAGCTTTTATATGCGCCCCAAAGATAGACTGTCGCATCTTGTGATTTCCTGTACTATATCCTCTCTCAGGTAGACGGTGGTCCGAAATGAGGCCATCCCCCATCAGGCATATCGTCACTGTGGACGAATCGCCAGAATCCATATATGAGACATAGGAAGACAAAGACGACTAGCAATTGTCCAAGCCATTCAGGTAATGCGCGATCCGTAGGGTCCATGTCGCTGCTGGCTATGGACGACTCTTCGAGGAAGTGGCTAAAGGTGCCATAGTCTGGCGGCGCACCACTCGTCGCAATGGCATCATCGTAGGAGGGTGGTGGCTCGTCGTGATGCAGAGGTTCGTCAAGAAATAGGTGTATAGGCGGTTCGTGAGGGTCGTCGTTGTCATGGTGGTCGGATGCATCTACTCTAGGTGGGGTAGATGGTGGATCGTATGAGGCCTGCTATGGTTAGCCCCGCATTGTATGTGTGGCTGTCTTCCAGAATTTACCGGCGCTGCGTCGTGCATGATACATTAGCCACAGAGGTTAGCTGGCCGTTTGCCCAGGCGTCATGGCGGTGGTGATGGAGATGGTGGTGAAGTGGCGGAGGTCGCGTGTGGCGCGCGTCATAACGGCGTCGCATGTGAAAGCCCATGTCGCACTTCGCGGGTAGGCGGTCCGAGCTTTGGCGAAGTGCTGCGTGTCGGGTTGCGACAATGGCAAGACGTGGACAGATACTTTGACTTCACCGCGTAGGCAGCCATTGACTGTATCCCACCCAGCTCTACCATCTGGTACAGCATGTTCCGTAATCTGCCATCCACCTACAGAAAACACACCAACCGCCACGCAAAATATGGCCGCTGATTCTGCTACTAACCTCCACATCTTCTCACCTACAGGCTCCGGCCGCTCCAGTCCTGCCCCCCGGGCTTCGCGCAATGCCGTTGAAGAGCGTAGGTTTCTGTTCCTACCATTTTACCCTACTGCGCACGACTAACCGGGCCTGCGCAGCTTTGTACAAAAAAGACAAGGGATTCCGACGATATGCCGCTGGTGTTGAGCGCGCCCTCGCCCTTTGGGATACTGCCCAGCAGGAATGGGCCGACTATATTTCTTTCCTCGCCAGGCTGCTCAAGGTCAATATTGCCGTACCATCGCGAATATGAATCACAGCGCTTATCATGTATCCCGTCCAGGCCTTGCAAGCGCACCCTTCAGAGATACCCGTTATCCCCCATAGCGATACAGTTGCACTGCGATTAGCGCAGTGCTTGAATCCAACATTGCCCTCGGGCGTCCACCAGAAAGCCCTCGAAGTCTATGACTATATCTTCTCTACCATTAGTGTATGCCCATTCCACACCCCAACAGGTCAGGTTGGCAGATGCTGACCCATGCCCAGAAAGACGCCCTCGCCCGTGATCTGAGCCTTTATTTCCCCGGCCTTGCCTCTGTACTATCTTTTGCCTCGCTTTCGGTCCGCCCACTCTATCTCTCTCTCTTCGAAACGCACATTTTGAAGCTCGACGGAGCTGCCCTTCGACCAGCCTTGAAGGCCATCATACTCTCGCTGCTTCCTGGTCTAGAGGATGAGACAAGCGAGGACTTTGAGCGCATGGTGTCAGCAACCGAGAAACTGCGCAATACTTTTCAGGAAAACTCAAACGAGGCAACTGAATCGAGAACAACTAGTGGCTCGTCGCATTTCTGGCAGTGTTTCTTCCTCGCTACCATAACAAATGCATCCCGACGACAAGGTGCACTCGCATTTCTCACACGTCACTTGCCCAAGTTCGGAAGTCCAGGTCGTCGAAATTCTCCACAAGATGCTTCAATGCCTCCCGAAACCCTATCGGCCGAAGCAGAGGCAGCCACATCCCCGGAGCCAGGTCTACTAATCCGTTGCTTCGAATCTGGCCTTTCAGACCCTCAAATACTTATACAGCGCGGATTCCTTGACTTACTAGTCACTCACCTACCTCTTGACTCACCTGTCCTGCAAGAACGTGTCGGTAAAGCGGACTTGGAGCGACTGGTCGCAGCAGCGGCTGGTGTGGTATCACGAAGGGACATGAGTTTGAATCGCCGACTCTGGGCATGGTTCCTCGGACCCGAGCCTACGGCATCAGAGGCCAACGAAAGCGTCACTTCTCCAATGTCGGAGAGTCACGGACCTGGAGACACTTCTGCCCACCAAGCTGCTTTCTTCTCGCGATATGGTCTTGAGGCACTCACAAACAGCGTGCTCAAAATGATTAATCGACGTAGTGAAACCCCTGCCGAGCGAGCACGTCCTTTTAGAGTATGTCTATCGCTCATGGATCGTTGGGAGGTAGGTGGGTTGATTGTACCTGAGATTTTCCTCCCAGCATTGCAGAGTGTCCACTCCTACAGCGAGGATGCCTCAAGAGATCAGGTTGACGAAGTGGTGAGAAGCGCCAGTGCATTCTTTGATGGCGTCGACAGCGGCTTGATTTGGGGCAAGCTTATCCACCTCATCACATCCTCTCTGCAGACAGGTCTGGCCTCTCATAGTGAAGCATTACGGAAGGTGAAGCTGACAAAGTTTATTCTTGCACGTTTCAACCTCAAAGAAGAGGATATGCTATTGTATCACATGCCTCTGATGATTCTATCGACACTTATACGCTTGAACGAGTCGTCCAACGCAGCGAGCATTACATCGGCGGAGATTGAGGTCAGGAGTTTGGCTCTAGAGATTTTAGACTCGCTTGTTCAGGTCGTACCAGACCGTTCATTCCAGAGCGGTAAAGCAACGGACGAACAACTATCTGAAGCCCTCAAGATGACCCCCGCAAATGTGTCTCAGAAACTCCAAGAGTTCTATGAAGAATCTCAAGGAAGCCTTGACGCGGCAGATCTACCCTTTGATCCAAGGCAACTGGGCCAAATTGTTCTTCGTGAGGCTTCACGAATGTTCATTGGGGCTTTGCAATCAAACAGCCCTCAAAACTCGGCCGAGACACCTTCCAGAATTCTTGCGAGCTTGATATTCAAAACCCAGCGCACGAACGCAATTGAAGAGACGGATCTCCCAGCCGTATTTGCAGAGATTCTTCAAAAGCCAGCTGATTCCGAGGTTGTCCCGCCGTTTTCACTATTGAGCGCCATAACCAGTGTCCTCCTGGCTCTTCAGACTGCACTTCCATCGGGACCCTGCATTACCTCAGACCAGTTGTCCGAGCTTGCCTACCCTCTAATTGAATACTTTTGGCAATACCTTTCGCCAACATTACCCAAGTATCATGTCGAGACAGCACGGTGCTTACTGCTACTGCACTCAATGGCTCCAGCAAGTCGAATGGTTGAGAGCGCCATATCGTCCATAGTTGTAAAGCAGATGTCCCAGGCTCCAGGAATTGAGGGATCCTCGAACTGCGGTCGACGATTCGCCACACTCTGGGCACATGTTATGCATGAGCTGAGCCTACAGTCAGAGAAGCGCCCAAGCACCACGCGACGACCAAGTGGCAACGCTCTTCCTGTCTCACTTCCTGCCAACGACTTCCAGGCCGTGTTGA